AGAGAGATGACGGAAGGAAGGAAAACAGACGTTACGGCAGAGAGGTGGCGAAATGAGCACGGCAAATGGCCAGCTGCAAATGAATGTTGAGTAGATTAAGTGAATGGTAGAGGTTGCAGAGACCGAGAGCAGATGGCTTTGGTTGGGTTTATAGAAAGCTGGAAGCCATGCTTACTCCATTTGCATGAGCGAACTCCGTTGGTGTTCACACAAACCCCTTCCGGTTCGCAGCCCAAGACGGTGCAAGCCGTGTCTGATTTGAGTGCACGGAAGGATGGGATGGAAGAAGGGGGAAAAGCCATATGAGAAAATGACTGAAAGAATACATAAGTAAAAGTGGATCATGCAAGATCGCGGTTCAACTGCGAAGCTGCCACATACATTGCCTTTCAACTACGGAGTTGCGCAAGACCATAACAAATTACCAACGCAAGTCAGTTGGTCTGGAGGCATATGAAAGCCCGGATCGCACGCGCAGGTTGGATCCCCGTTCTCCTTCCTCGTGCACTTGTCATTGGGCCCACAATCCACTGCAGCACAGTTGTCTGCAAAAACAAAAAGACGCAGGCAAGTGGAAAGATTATCTCTTGGTCGAAGGGAGCCCATGTTCCAAGAACTGGGTTGGAGTTGCACTCGTTGTAACTCACCAATGCAAGAGAGCTTGTCAGGAGACGGCTTGAAGCCAATGCTGCAACTACAGAAAGGATTTCCATTCGCATCCCTCATACAGTTGTTGCCAGGCCTACAGTTCACTGAAGCACAGTTGTCTGCCCAAAGGAGACCAAACAAAAGAAAGAATATTCTCTTATCCAGAATCCACCCTAAGCGGTTTTTGACAAGGGCCACACGAATGAGTATGCACAAAATTTAGTGATTCCTGTTAAAAAAAAAAGAGTTGAGGGGGGGTACCAAGTTGTAGAAAAGTGTGCTTGCAACGCAAGGCACCCTTTAATTCTATGTTGCCGCTTTCTAACTCACCAATGCAAGAGAGCTTGTCAGAAGATGGCTTGAAGCCAGTGCTGCAACTACAGTAAGGATTTCCACTTGCGTCCCTCATGCAGTTGTTGCCAGGCCCACAGTTCACAGAAGCACAGTTGTCTGCGAAAAACCAAACCAGCCAAGTCAAATCATACTTTCTTATCCTGAATACTACCCTAAGCGGTTTCTGACAATTAAGGGCCCACATGAACAAATATGCACACATTCTACTGATTCTTGCAAGAAAATTGAATCGAGGGGAGGTACCAAGTTGTAGAAAAGTGGGTTTAGAATGCAAGGCACCCTTCTGTTCTGTGTTGTCACTTTCCTACTCACCAATGCAAGACAGCTTATCGGAAGACAGCTGGAAGCCAGTGCTGCAACTACAGAAAGGATTTCCATTCGCATCCCTCATGCAGTTGTTGCCAGACCCACAGTTCATTGAAGCACAGTTGTCTGCAAAAACGAGACCAGCCAAGAGAAAGAATATTCTCTTATCCAGAAACCACACTAAATGGTTGACAATCAAGGGTCACACGAATGAGCATGCACACAATATAGTGATTCTTGCAAGAATTTGAGTTGAAGGGAGGTACCACGTTGTAGAGAGTGGGTTTGAAATGCAAAGCACCCTTTTGTTATGTGTTGCCTCCTTCCAACTCACCAATGCAAGAGAGCTTGTCAGAAGACGGCGTGAAGCCAGTGCTGCAACTACAGGATGGATTTCCACTCGCATCCCTCTTGCAGTTGCCGCCAGGCCCACAATTCACGGAAGCGCAGTTATCTGCGAACAAAAACACCCAGGAAATGGAAGGATGTCATATAAGAAATCTAGAATACCTGGGTCTTGACAATCAAAGGGAAAGCGGTTTAGTAACTGTTGCAAGAAAGTTGAGGGTATGGCAAGTTTCAGAAATAGGTATGGAAAGCAAGGCACACCTTCTGTGTTGCATCTCTTCAACTCACCAATGCAAGAGAGCTTGTCAGAAGACATCGCGAAGCCAGTGCTGCAACTACAAGATGGATTTCCGGTTGCATCCTTCGTGCAGTTGCCGCCAGGCCCACAATTCACCGTAGCACAGGTATCTGCAGGAAAAAAGGTCCAAGCTATGATATCCAAATCTAGACAATCAAGGGTCGCAGGGTAGAATACACACAAAAGTCAGTAGCTCTTGCAAAAAAGATAAGCTGAAAGAAGGTCAATTCAGAGTTGGATTTGAAATGCAAAGCAAGCGGTTTGTATCGCACCCCTCCAACCCACCAATGTAAGAAAGCTTGTCAGAAGATGGCTTGAAGCCAGCGTTGCAGCTACAGGACGGAATACCACTCGTATCCCTTGTGCAGTTGCCGCCAGGCCCACAAGTTACCGCAGCACAGTTGTCTGCAGGCAAGTGGAAGGATATTATCATATCAGGGACCTATGATATCTTAGTCTTGACAGTCAAGGGTAATAGAGTTGAATATGCAACCTCCCCAACTCACCAATGCAAGAGAGCTTGTCAGAAGACAGTGTGAAGCCAGTGCTGCAAGAGCATGATGGACTTCCGCTCTCATCCTTTGTGCACTTGCCTCCAGGCCCACACTTCATTGAAGCACAATTGTCTGCAAAGACCAAGACCCAGGAGGATGATCATCACATCAGAAAGCTATACCATCCAAATCTTGGCAATCAAGGGTCACAGTTAAATACACACGATTCAGTATATCTTCTAAAATATCTAACGAAGAAACCATTTTTTCAAGAAACAGATGCACCCCTTCAACTCACCAATGCAAGAGAGCTTGTCAAGAGACAGTTTGAAGCCAGCACTGCAACTACAGAATGGATTTCCTGTCGCATCCTTCATGCAGCTATTACTAGGCCCACAATTCACTGAAGCACACAAGTCTGCAAGGAAATGATACAGAGAAAAAGGAATGATGATGATCATCATATTGACAACTTTAGAAGCCGAAGGATTCACGTATATAACGAGTGACAACTTTAGAAGCCAAAGGATTCACGTATATAACGAGTGGAGTCAAGTAATGATGTAGCGTAAGACCCATGGGTCATATATAAAAAGAAGTTGTGTGATTGGTTGGTAGCGGAACACCACAAAATCATGTCCTTTCGGTTGGCTGTCAAGATCCTTTCTTTATCACTAACCCCTAACATACGTGGGTTTCACAAATGAGATCGGAAAATGATGCATTGCGATCATCACGCAGGCTATTCGAGTTCAGATTTCAAAAGAAGCGCGCTAGTATTGAGATCCTCACACCAAACCATTCTTTTGTAACAGCTGATCGCTGCCATACCACTAACCACTTAAATCACAATGCCACTGCTTCTTGTTAGACTAGAGTATGCTCTCACATTGGTGCTGGCTCTTTAGTCGGCCATGTTTCAAGCATTATGCTTTACGGTTCACTTTAAGATCAATTCCTGTTGTGCCCAGATTTGAACACACCTAAAGTTCGGTTGGGTTTTCTACCTCCTGGTTTGACCACATCCTTTCAAGACTGAATCTCAAGCTCTTCTCCTTGCTGCCTACCTAACTCCCTTGCAAGGGCATTGCAGATCCAGAGGAGAAGCAGCTGAACTCACCAACGCATGTGTCATTGCCAGGAAGCCTCTTGAAGCCACTGACGCAATCACAAGTTGTATTTCCATTTACGTCCTTGTTGCAACGGGAGTTGGCCGTGCAAGTCACCAACTCGCACTTGTCTGCCATGCATATGGGATAGAAGAGAAACGCAGGTGGGATAGGAAATCAAGGTGGGATAAAAGTGGTGGAATGGAAATGGAGGCAACCACTGGCAAAAGAAGACACCTCACCAACACAATGCCTCACCAACGCGTATGTAAACACTCGTCACAGGAGTAGGAAGCATCCTGTTCCTGTGTGACGCAAGTAACACAAAACAAGGCGTGTTGAGAGTTGAGACTGGTCACATAAATACTTGCTACCCAGCACTATTTTCTTCACAATGCTCTCTACTCTGATAGTTCATCAGGGGTTAAATATATATACTTTCAGCAGTAGAATTTCTCAAGCAAAATGGGTATGTGTACGTGAAATAAAGGCAAAAGGCGAGCATGAAAACGAGGAGGTATCGGTAGCAGCGTACCTAGGCAGACGCCATTGGCGGCAGCAAAGCCCGGGTTGCATACACAGAGAGCCATACCCATAGCATCACTACCAGCATACCTAGGCAGGCGCCATTGGCGGCAGCAAAGCCCGGGTTGCATGCACAGGTGACCCCCTTGCTTTCACTCGTTGGCATGCACGTGGAGTTGCTGGGACACGTGGCGTGCTGGCAGGTGATGTCTGCCATGTCATGGGGGAGGCAGCAGAGATGTGGCATGGTTGGTGAAAGCATATGCCAGAGAAGCTCCCTTTACATGAAAGTGATGAGATGTGTGCGGCATGGTGGCATGGTGGCATGGTGACAAGGTGACATGGTAAGTGGCAAGGAGGTAAGGAGGAACGAAAGGAGGAAAGGAGGCAAGGCACGCACCAGGCTTGCAGGACACAGACATCCATCGAGAGACCTTTTTTGTGCTGCAAGGACATGCGGATCAGACAAGGACATGAGGATCAGACAAGGACATGAGGATCACACAAGGACATGGGGATCAGACAAGGACATGGGGATCAGACAAGGACATGAGGATCAGACAAGGACATGAGGATCAGACAAGGACATGAGGATCAGACAATGACATGGGGATCAGACAAGGACATGGGGATCAGACAAGGACATGAGGATCAGACAAGGACATGAGGATCAGACAAGGACATGAGGATCAGACAAGGACATGGGGATCAGACAAGGACATGGGGATCAGATAAGGACATCAGGAACGTGACAATTGGATCAAACGTTACGTTGGGGTGGCAGATTAGTTAGACCACAGCACGAGGCACGACAGTCGCTTTAAAAAATGGCATTGCCCCCACGACCCACCCGCCAGGCTGCCCCCACCTGCCAGGCTGCCCTCACCTGCCAGGCTGCCCTCACCTGCCAGGCTGCCCTCACCTGCCAGGCTGCCAGGTTGCCCTCACGACCCACCTGGGCACGTTGAAGAATCTCCGCAGGTTGGCAAACTGCGGCTTGAGCACCTCATCCAGCGCCTTGCCCTTGCAGGCGGGGTTGGCAAAGAACTGCAGCTGCTTGCACGCCGCACCCGCCTGCTGCTTCCCGCTGTTGCTGCCGCCCGTGAGCCCGTGCCACCACACCTGCACGTCCCGCCCCGCCTTGGCCGCCGCACGGGGAAGGCTGAAGCAGCGGAGAACATTAAAGTTGACGGGGAGGCTGACGCCCGGCACCGTGATCTGCGTCGCCACCTGCACGCCCGCCTCCACTGCCCCGCCACTGCTGCCGCTGCCCGCCCCTCCCACCTCCACGCTCGCGCCCACCGTTCCACCGCTGCTGCTCCCGTCCCCCGCCCTCGCCCCTACCTCCACCCCCATACTCGTGTTCCCACCTCCCACAGTGACATCGCTTTTCATGCTTCTCCTCGCCGTCTCTGCATCGTCGACAACTCTCATCATGCTCCCATTCGGGCAATTTGCGCACCCGCCTGCTGCGACGTGAGCCGCTGGATGCAGAAGAGGCAGAGGGTTGAGAGGGAGCAGAGGGGTGAGAGGGGGCACAGGGGTGAAAGGGGGCAGAGGGGTGAGAGGGAGAGGAGTGGGAGGAAGCACTTAGAAACGTACAGATTCAGAAAGTGCACAGAACGAAAAGCCAATGAGAATGAGGAGGGAGAGGCTCGAGCCTGGACGAGGAGAAGCAGATGACAGGCAAGGACGAGGAGAAGCAGGAGAGGAGAAGTGAACATGGCGACTCGAAGCTCACCGCAGATGACGGCAAGGACGAGGAGAGGAAGCAGCGCGGCAGGAGAGGTGGCCATGGCGGTCAAGCCGCCGCTTCAGGTGGGGTGATTCTCGTGGCTCGCAACTTCACTCGAGCGGCTCCGTCGACAATCCACGGGCTCTGACGCTTTTTGAGACGTCTCAAAAGTCGTTCTCGTGGCTCGCAACTTCACTCGAGCCTCCGTCGACAAGCCACAGGCTTCGACGCTAACGAGTGAATCTGCCGCTTCGCGCACGCGTGTGTCTCGCGCAATGTCAGGGAAGATAGCTTTGAATTGACGTCTATTGATGGTAGTAGACGCCGTTGGTGCAGCTCGATGCGAGCGGTAGTAGTATAGCTGACGTAGGTCGCAGTATAGCTTGTGGTAGTAGCTAGAAGGATATGATGGTATAGCTGTTAGTTTACTATCACACAGTACGAGAATGTGAAGGCATAGAAGCGGCGGAAGAGATGCTTCCATGACTGCTCCGGCGAGTGGCTTATAGACAGAGCTCGGACGCTCGCCCAGTACCAGTCATGTGCGCGGCGCTAGAAACGCAATGGGGAAAGCTGGAGTGGATAAGTTTTGAATTATTGATGCATATGGGGGTTCCGCGTCAGCAAGCGAGCCCAAATGCGATCCCGTGGCGTGTTGCATTGCGACGTCGCGCGCCTGCCAGAAACAGCGCGCGACCGACTCAACAGTCGCCTGCATTTGTCGCTCTGGCTGGTGAAGTATGGAGGGGGGCGGAATGAAGCGACAGGATCGGAGCGCACGGAAGCACAATAAAAGAATTATTGCTATAATGCAGGACCTGCGATCCTGGTGTTTGTCTTGGGAGCGGGAAGGATCGAGTTCTTGAGGGCGCGTAACTTTTAACAAAATCGCTGAAAGTCCAGGACATCGTACGACGTCCGACCGGACCGAGTGCGAGCATGCGGCATCGTACGGTCGTTAAGCAACGCAAACAAGGTCGAAAAAACGCAATACGACGCACAGGACATCGTTCATTATTTGACGAATGCTTTAGCGACCGTGAAAGACTTTAGTAACCACAAAGCCGTCCGGATGGTCTGTCGTCGGAACCAAATGTTGTGAAAAGGTTACACGCCCTCACACCGTTAGCGGCGAGGCGAGGTATTGTTGTGTGCAACGAAGCTCACCTCGTACAAGCAAACTCTCACTCTCACAAATATTCTCAACATTCCACAGATAATTTATGTAAAATGTATAATGAAACAATGTAGCATCGTATGCAATCGTAATTGTGCTGCTGCTAACCTGTTTCTCCCATAAAGGAAGCACAGGGATCGATGAAACGTCTTCAGGTTGCATGAAATGGATAAAATTTGCTCTTTTACCGTCGTAATTTCGGTTATATCATGCTTTTCAGACATTACTTACCAGATCGTTGATGTCGATGTACATTACTACTATTCTGATACTCAATGCATCTCTGAATACGAGCAATGGGGGCAAAGTATGCAGTTATAGCCTTGAACTTCCCATTCAAGAAATTTTGCTCCACCTGCGGCACGAACACAGAGGTTAAGACAAGAATGTCAAGCACATGTTAGGACCCCCATCTTTTTCTTCTAGTCGACAATCATCTGTCAAACATATATGCTGCATATTGTCTAGGCTGTAGTGGGGTAGCCCATATGGGGTACAACCCAATTAGGGTTTACTACTTGTACTCCTGCATGCTGCTAGTTCATTCATTCCTGCTGCTAGATTCTAACATGGTATCAGAGCGAGCAGACTCACCAGCACCTGGAGCAGCAGCCTCACCAGCACCTAGAGCAGGAGACACACTAGCACCTAGAGCAGCAGCCTCACCAGTACCTAGAGCAGGAGACACACCAGCACCTAGAGCAGCAGCCTCACCAGCACCGAGAGCAGGAGACGGTATACCAGGGTCAGGCGGTACGCACAGGTAACAGGCACGGTCAACACTAGTAGGCAATGCATACATGGCAGTGAGAATAGCATCATAGTCAAGAGCAAAGATATCTACCCTCTGTCCAAGCAGCTCCACCCAGGAGGGAGCTCAGCCTCGTCGCCAAACACGGTACGCCAGGCGTCGCTCAGACGGGCGAAGCAGCAGGACTGTGTGTGACCAAGCGTCCCGCAAGGCTGACCAGTCCTAACACCTGTGCGAATGACGTACGGGCAGCGAACGGTACGCGAAGACCTGCTACACTGAGCGTACCACTCCTGGAGCTGCCGGGGCGTAAGTGTGTCTCGTCTAGACTACGCTGCCAGTCTTGTTACTGAGTCTGAGTCTGTCTGTCCTCCGTCCGTCGGGGGTGAGTGTGCTCTTAGCACGGACGTCCTTGAGGACAGGCACGAGGACCTTGAGTGTCTTGCGGCTGCTGCGCCTCATCTCGTGGCCATGCTACTTGCCCCTGAGGGAGACCCGGATGCACGAGACATCCCGACCCCGCGCTCTTACGCTGAGGCGATCGCGGGTGAGTACTCCTCTCAGTGGCAGACAGCCATGGACGCAGAGATGGCATCCTGGAAGTCAACAGGCACTTACGTCGATGAGGTTCCCCCTCCTGGGGCGAACATCGTCAGTGGCATGTGGATTTTCAGGGTGAAGCGGCCGCCGGGTTCTCCGCCTGTCTTCAAGGCTCGTTACGTTGCTCGAGGCTTCAAGCAGCGAGAGGGAGTTGACTTATTCCAGACCTTCTCCCCCACCCCGAAGATGACCACTCTTCGGGTGCTGCTGCACGTTGCCGCTCAGCGTGACTACGAGCTTCACTCTCTTGACTTCAGCACAGCCTTCTTACAGGGCAGCCTGCACGAGGAGATCTGGCTGTGCCGCCCACCTGGCTTCACTGGGTCGTTTCTTCCTGGTACCCAGTGGAGTCTCCGGCGGCCAGTCTACGATCTCCGCCAGGCGCCTCGTGAGTGGCACGACACACTGAGGACGACACTTGCGGCTCTTGGGTTCGCTCCTTCGACCGCTGACACGTCACTGTTTCTGCGCACCGACACTTCGCTGCCGCCGTTCTACATCCTCGTGTACGTCGACGACTTGGTCTTTGCAACTGCTGACACTGAGGCTCTCGCTCAGGTGAAGTCGGAGCTGCAGAAGAGACACACGTGCACAGACCTGGGTGAGCTGCGCAGCTACCTTGGCTTGCAGATCACCCAGGACAGAGCACGCCGCACCATCACCCTGACTCAGTCACACATGGTGCAGCAGGTCCTTCAGCACTTCGGCTTCTCCTGGTCCTCCCCACAGGCCACTCCTCTTTCTACAGGTCACTCGCTCTCAGCTCCACCTTCGGACGAGTCCGTAGAGCCGAGTGGTCCTTACCCAGAGCTAGTTGGCTGCCTCATGTACCTGATGACTTGCACACGACCTGACCTCGCATACCCTCTTGGCCTTTTGGCTCGTTACGTGGCTCCTGGCAGGCACCGAAAGGTGCACATGGATGCTGCCAAGAGGGTGTTGCGCTACCTGTGCAGTACATCAGGCATGGGGCTTGTGCTTGGAGGACGGAGTGAGGTGGTCCTCACTGGGCACTCAGACGCGTCTTGGGTTGACGACCAGACTACACAGCGGTCGTCACAGGGTTACACCTTCAGCCTTGGCTCTGGCTCTGTTTCTTGGCGGTCTACACGCTCGTCTTCTGTTCTCAGCTCTAGTTGTGAGGCTGAGATCTACGCCACCGTCTTGGCTGCACAGGAGCTACGCTGGCTTACCTACCTGCTGACTGACTTGGGTGAGCGGCCTCGTTCTCCTCCAGTTCTGTACGTTGACAACAAGGCGGCCATTGCCTTGTGTGAGGAGCACAGACTGGAGCACAGAACGAAGCACATCGCTCTGCGTTACTTCCTGGCTCAAGAGTTGCAGCAGCGAGGTCAGCTTCGTCTTCGTCACGTGGCCACTCGGGCCAATACTGCTGATATATTCACCAAGGCACTTCCGTCTGGTGATCATCAGCGCTTTTGTACCCTGTTAGGCCTTGTGCCTACGTTTCCACACTTGCTGTAGTCTTTGGTTGTACTGTGATCTATATATATATCCTGCATGCTTGCTCTTGCTAGGTAGTGATCACTGCTCTAATTTTGTTCCATATATATATACCTCTGCATGTGAACTGGCCTTGTGGCCCTTTGCTTGTGCTCAGAGTGTGTGGTGACGTTGTGATCCACCCTGAGCTTGCTTTGCTTCTCTTGACTGGTCTTGTGACCCTTTGTTCTCCCCCACTTTGCTTATGGGGGTGTGTCAAACATATATGCTGCATATTGTTTAGGCTGTAGTGGGGTAGCCCATATGGGGTACAACCCAATTAGGGTTTACTACTTGTACTCCTGCATGCTGCTAGATTCTAACATCATCAGCACTCTAGCAGGTTGCGACATGAGTCATGAGGTACCAGGCAGGGACCTGAAGGCGTGATGGCGCGAGCGAGATGCTCCAAGTGGTGCATGGGAGTGTTGCGAGGCAGGTACATGACCACTGATGGGGTGATGCTTAGTGAGAGGTGCAGCAGGGTAGAGCAGGTGGGATGGGAAGGAACAAAGAAGACAAAGGTGGTATAGGGGTGGAGTTGCTCCAAGTGGTGCATGGGAGTGTTGCGAGGCAGGTACATGGCCTGGCCACTGATGGGGTGATGCTCAGTGCCAGCTGTAGCAGGGCAGACCTGGGGGGAGGGGAAGCAACACAAGAGGCAAGGGCGCTATAGAGAGTGAGACTAGACAGACGATCTTAGAATCAGTAGTGAGGGAAGGGAAAGGGCAATGGAACCAGGGGTGCCATAAGAGGTGGAAAGAATGCGAGTCGGCATGCATGCATGCACTATGGCTGCAAAACAGAGGGCACACTTGCATGTGGTGCGTCAAGGGCGGTCAATGAGGAGAGTCGAGGCTGACTGTGATACGTACGCGTTAACTGGTTGCAGCATCCTCCAGATGCCGTACTCTGATTCGTCGAGATACTCCGGGCCGCCCCATGGGGGTGACAGGAAGACCACATCAGCCTGCCCTGCAGAAAGCAAGGGAAATGCACGACATGGGGGTTGGAAGAATGGCACGGGGGCTGGGCGGATGGGGAAAATGGAGGGAGGGAGGGTAGAGAGTGGAACAATGGCGGTTGGGAACATAGAAGCATGAGCACAAGGGAGCATGCCAACACGGGGCATGGGAGCATGGGAGCATGTGAGCAGGGTGTCTGGTCGCCATGGGAGCATGTGTGCATTGACGCATGAAGCATAGCAGCATGTGAGCAAAGCAGCATGGGAGCAAAGCAGCATGGGGGCATGGTCACACATTTGTCAGAGCATGGGTGTGTGTTACCACATGGACATCTGAACCTGGGAGCAAGCGCATGTGTGGGCATACGAATGTTGCAATGAGCAAGCTACCGAAATTCAAGGATGCTGATGCATGTGATGCTGACGCATGGTGATATGCACTTCACAAATCCTCCCCTACCCCATGGATGCATCCTCAACTCAAGGAACAGACTTGAACCATCCACCACTCCAAGAGGCCTCACTGGTCCTCCCCTGCAACGCAGGGGAACGCAGAGGAAATCGGCACAAAGAGCATCCACTCGGTGGGGCAGACCGGGTCGGGGTTGTAGAGGGTGAATGTCGTGAGGGGCAGTGGTGCAAATCATACGACACCTCGCAAATTCCCTCATGCCTCACCTTCAGCCGCGAAGCAAGGCAGAGGAAGTCGGCACAAAGAGCATCCACTCGCCCGAACAGGTGGGCGCCGTAGAGGGCGAGGTTGTGGTGCAGCATGGCCAGGCGGGGCACGCTCATTTCACTGGCCAGCACGTGGAGGCAGCTAACATGGGTTGGGTTGAAGTTGGCAGGTGAGGGTGAGGAGCTGAGACATGGAATGGACAGGCCACAATGGACAGGCGAGGGTGAGGAGACATGGACCTTAGGTGGAGATGTGGAGGCACAGGGGACGTAGCTTGAGAGGCTGCTGAGCAGTATGGGTAGGCGACGCGGGCACATATCACTGGCCAGCACGTGGGGGCAGCTGGAAGAATAAGGTGGTGGAGAAGGGGGAACGGGAAGTGCGACAGCGAGTGATGCGGAAGCAAAGCTGTGGTTGTGGCATGGATATATACAAGCACGGAAGATTGTGCGAGGTACATAGTCTTGCTCTCCACTACTGTGCCGGGCTGTCAACCCATCCTACAAGGCCTCCCGCACAGAATCCACCCCCTACCACGCCTCATAGGTCGCTCTCCGGGTTGGTTACTAGGCCATTTAGAGGGAATTATGTCACGGGGTTAGTAACCAACCTACTGGATAGGATATCGCCCTAAGCTACTGGGCAGTGAGCTCAGTGAGCCGTAGAAGCGCCCTACAAATTCCGTAGCATCAGTCGGACTCACAGCCTGCCCAGGTGGATGGTGTTGCCGCCCACCCCACAAAAGGTGGAGGGGAGAAGGGTTACTGGGTGATTGGATAACCCTAGACCACCAGGCAGTGAGCTCAGCTAGCCCTAGAAGACCCCCAGCCCTTAGCATCGGACTGACTCACAGCTTGGCCAGGAGGATGGTGTTGCCGCCCACCCCACAGAAGGCATCCACCACCACGCCTGCCCCCGCCCCGCCCCCCACGCCTGCTGCACCCCTCATGCTTGCAGCACGCTCACAACTCTCTTTGCGTGTTTTATCTCCACACCTCCCTTCGTCCAGGAAACCACCTCTTGGTTCCTCTTCTCCTCCCTGCTTGCCCATCACCGCACCTTCCCCCTTTTTCTCCTCCTGCCCTGCTTGCCCATCTCCGCACCTTCCCCCCTTTTACTTGGACTCCCACTCTGCTCTTCCCCAAAGCTTAATGGTGCATTGTGGCCAGCACACGTGGCTGTAGCATACGTAACATCACCATCTCCTGCCAGCGCGCCAGGACCACCACCTCCTGCTGACGTGGCAGCATCACCCCCTGCACACGTGGCACCACCATAACCCACGGCAGCAGCGCACATGGCAGGGTGGTGGGCGGCGATGGCCTCAGGAGTGACAAGGGGCCACGCGTCAGCATCCAATAGGACGCCCTCATCGAACCGTGAGAACAGACCGTACCGCTGTTGCCAGTACTTCTCATACCCCTCTGCTACAGCCTCCCCTGCTCCAGTGGGCTCAAATAAGATCTGATCCGCTTTCGCGGATACAGCCTGCCCTGCTACAGCCTGCCTTGCTACAGCTTGCCCTGCTACAGCCTGCTCTGTTACAACCTGGTCAGGCGTCCATCCCACCCAGCACGTGAGCCCACTCCCCTCGCCGTGGACTGGCGGGTGCCACTGGGTGACAGCGGCGGCAGCATTGCAGAAGTACACGCCGTGGGAGAGCGGCTCCCACACCGCCTGCCATGCACCCTCCTCCGCCACCCACGAATGACACTCCCTCTGCGCCCTTCCATTGCTTGCCCTTCCACTGCCTGCCCTTCCACCTGCTCCCTCCCCACCTTCTCTCCCCTTGTCTGCTCTGCACCACCCTCCACCACTCTTCCTCTCACAGCACCTACTTCTGCCTCTGCAGCAACTTGTGCTGCTGTCCACATGCCACCCTCCACTGCCTCTGCACCGCACCCCTCCACTACCATTCCTCCCATACCCCGCCGCTATCCCTGTGAGAGCACTTATGCCTGCATTACCAGCAGCAACCTGCCTTGATACATTTGCACCACTCTCTAATGCTATCGCTGCACCCACCCCTGCCACGCCCTCTGCACCGACCTCAACCACTGCATCTGTAACGCACTCTGCTGTTGCATATCCATCTCCCTCCTTCTCCCCCGCCTCGTCTTCTTCTTCCCTCCACGAGCCCCACCAGAACCACCACCGCCACCCTCGCCACTACCGTCGCCACTACCCTGCTGCTGCTTCACGAGAGCACACACACACACACACACACACACACACACACGCACGCACGCACACACACACACACACACACATATGCACACATACACGCACGCATACACACGCACACACACACAAACACCCACCCACATACACACACATACAAATCAAGAAAAGAGGGGAGAGGAGGTGGGGGGGGAGGGGGGGGGGGGGGGAAGAGGTTCAAGCTGAGACGTGAAAAAACATTGTAGTAACCTCCATGTGCAGACCCGCTGCCCTGTCCGTCTCCATGCGGTTGTGGGGAGGGGCTGCCAGTCAGTGGGGTGATCTGGACCATGCTGCAGTCCAGAAACGGAGGGCAATGCAACGGAAAGGGTAGCAAATGCAAAATAAAATGCTGCAGAGTGGATCTAGTGTTATCAAAATGAATGTAAGGGAAAATGGGGAGAGCAGCAGGAGGTGGGAGAGCAATCACATGAAGATCACGCACACTCACTCAGCACAGTGTCTCGTGCTGTCTGCATGGTCTGGGCCGCCTGTATTGTGCTGAAGTGCACTGGCAGCCCAAGAGCAGCCGGGGCGCCTGCCACCTCTGCTCCCACTAGCCTTTCCCCTTCCAGCAGTGCTGAATCCAAACTCACCTCTGCTGACTCCGCACTCACATTAGCATCTTCTGCTGATTGCATGGCTTGGACCCATCCACAGGACTGCACAGGCAGGCCAAGAGCAGCCAGGGCGCCTGCCAGGGCCACCTCTGCTCCCACCAGCCTTACTCATCCCACCACTGCTCATTCCCCACTCACCTTAATCTCCTCAGCTGATTGCAAGGCTCGAACCCCTCCACTGAACTGCACTGGCAGGCCAAGAGCAGCCACCCAGGGCGCCGCCTGCCACCTCCTCATCTTCCACCAACCCTTCCCCTCCCACCACTGCTCATTCCACACTCACCTTAGCATCCTGTGCTGATTGCATGGCTCAGACCCCTCCACTGAACTGCACCGGCAGGCCAAGAGCAGCCAGGGCGCCTGTCAGCTCCTCACGCCCTTCACCCTTCCACCACTGCTGACTCCGCTCACTTTAGCATCCTCAGCTGATTGCACGGCTCGGGCCCCTCCACGGATCTGCACTGGCAGGCCAAGAGCAGCCAAGGCGTCTGCCAGCTCCGCAGCCTCGGTACCCTCACCTTCTCCCCACCCGCTCCTTCCCTTTCGCCCTTTGCCATTGCCGCACGCCCTCGCCTCCCCTCCATGGCACCACCTGCACCTTGCTGCACTGCAGCTCGTTGCATGAAGGCCGGCGCCTGGCATGGTCGTCACTGCGGGAAGAGGGAAGAGTGGAGAACGGGAATGAGGGACGGGGGAGTTGGAGCTAGCGGAAGGGGGGAACGGTGATCTTCGCCTCGCCTCCCCTCCACGGCACCACCTGCACCTTGCTGCTGCACTGTTGCTCGTTGCATGAGGGCCGGCGTGTGGCACAATTCTCACTGCGAGAAAAGGGAGCGGGGAGGGGGAACAAGGGAGGGTTCCGGGAGAGGGAGAGGGAGAGGGAGAGGGAGTTGGAGGTGTGGGGCGGGGAAGGTAATCCTCGGCTGCTCTGCAAGGCACCACCTACAAGGGAGAGGGAGAGGGGAGTTGCATGAGGGTGGCGCCTGGAGCGATTGTCACTGGAAGAGAAGGGAAGTATGGAGAACGAGAACAGGGGAGCCAGAAGGGGGAATAGGGAGAGGGTCCCGGGAGAGGGAGGGGGGAGTTGGGGACATGGGGGGAGTGGGAAGGGTGACCTTTGCGTTGGCTTGGCTTGACTCCACGGCACCAACTCTTCACTGCGCTGCAGTGAGTTGATTTTTTAGGCGCCCCAAAAAGGCGCCTCAAAAATCAACTTTTTGCGTTGGCTTGGCTTGCCTCCACGGCACCAAATTCACCGTGCTGCGCTGCAGCTCGTTGCATAAGGACCGATGCCCGGCTTTCACTGCGAGAGAATGGGGGGATTGAGGACGGGGGGAAACGGGTGGGGGAATGCGGATGGGGGAAGGCAGACGGGGGAAGGCGGATGGGGGAATGCGGATGGGGGAAGGCGGACGGGGGATGGGGATGGCGGATGGAGGAAGGCGGACGGGGGATGGGGATGGCGGATGGGGATGGGGGTGGCGGATGTAGGAGGGAGAGTGCGGGGAGAGGGAGGGGGGTAATGAAGGCGCATGTGCGGAAGGGGGGCAGCTGGGGAGCGGAAGACTGGGAGGGGTTATCTTGCTGTTGCACTGCAGCTCGATGCGTGAGTGGCGGCGCCTGGCGAGTGAGATGAGCGCTGTGTTGTGCTGCCGGGTAAGATAACTCGCCAGGCGCTGGGCAGTCGCGCAGATGGAGGCGGTGTGCAGTGCAGCGCTTTTGAGAATTCTTAAAAGTGAACAACTGCGACATGGAGGGGCAGGGAGTCGCAGGGAGCGTAACATAACTGTTTTCGGCTGCCTAGTTGGGCACTTACTTTCGATGCCGCTACTGTGCTTTAGACAATTTAGAGAGCACTCTTGGTAGTCATCTCAGTTGCGTCGCGTTCACGCCGTCGCGTGTACCCATTAATGGCGGAGGCGGCATCGGGCGAGGCGACTTGCTCAACAAACGCCTACCTATTTACCGACTTGGGAGAGCGGCCTTGTTCTCCTCCGGTTCCGTACGTCGACAACAAGGCCATGTTTGCCTTGTGTCAGGAGCACAGACTGGAGCACAGAACAAAGCACATCGCTCTGCGTTACTTCCTCGCACGAGAGTTGCAGCAGCGTGGTCAGCTTCGCCTTGCTTACGTGGCCACACGGGCCAACACTGCTGATATTTTCACTTAGGCACTTGCGTCTGGTGATCATCAACATTTCTGCACCGTTCTAGGCCTTGTGCCTACTCTGCCTCACTTGCTTATTGCTTGACTGTGGCTTGTACAGTGATCTTTATATATATGCTTGCAAGCTTACTCTTGCTAGTTGTGATCACTGTACTACATGTGCCCTTTATAACTCTGCATGTGAATTGGTCTTGTGACCACTAGCTTGTGCTCGGACTGTATGGTGACTTTGTGATCCAGCCTGAGCTTTGTTTGTTCTTGCTGTCCCTCACTTTGCCTATGAAGGTGTGTTAAAACTAATTTATCTTTTTGTAGGCTGTATTGGTGTTGCCCATATAGAGTACAACCATTTTAGGGTTAGGTACTTGTACTTTCATTCCGTGCTAGTGAAGGCCATTCCTGCTCGTTAGATTCTGACAGTTATGGGCACACGGACCCGCTACACAAACAAGACCTTTATCCCAGTGGTCTAGTGGCTGGGATTCTGATATGATGTCAGAGCGGTCTCGGGTTCTAATCCCAGTGTATGCATATGTATGCCATTGCCGCTACACCTATTCTTAATAATTTCACACCCCTTAAACGCACACCTTGGGGGTACATACCCGGAGTACAAACTTTCTTGCAGGGTAGTTAATGTTGGAAACAAGTGACTTAAAACGCTTCTTATGTGTCGAAACATTGAAGTGTAAACGAGGCGAACTACAACGAAGCAACGGCGAGTCAACCGAGGAGGTTGACAAAACGCAACTGCTGGAGATTACGCAAAGGTCCACGGTCAAGCGACCTTTGACTCGACAAATACAACGTGACAGCAAGGACAAATAACTGACTCGCTATTGAGCAGTTGCCCGAGTCGTCACTGTATCGAACCGCAACAGCAGCCGTACAACGGTTACCAATCGTATCTTTTCATACTCCTCGTATTCTTATAAAAACCTTGTATCTTCCCACTTTAATCAATCTATCTTGCCCTCACACACTAGCGCAAGGTGGTTTGACACTTGTCATTAAACGCTTCCGCAATTACAACATCTCTAATCAGAGTTTAGCCTTGAAAAGATCCTAAGGGCTTTTCTCAGCCCAACATGGTATGAGAGCAGTCAAGGCAAATTCAACTACATTCAAGTTCTCTACAACATCAGAAGGCATGGCAACACAGAAGGAGAGAAGCTCCTCTAACGGCTCTCCCGGCACTACTCCTACTCCACCTCCAGCCTCTGGCCTACAGACAGAGGGAGGCACAGCGACAAGACCAGCTGCTGAGTCTACTGAGACTCCCGCGCATCAAGCGACCGGCTTCGACCCAACCATGATGGAGATTCTTCTCTCCTTCATGTCCTTCTACGAGCAACACCAGCAAGCAGCACCTGCGCAGTCAAACAACAGCAACAACAACAACGATGTTACACCCATGAGCCTCGATGGCTCATCCTACGCACGCGAAAATTAGCAGCAACCTACCTTCGCTCCGTACGAACCTCAGCGCGGCTCCATCAGCTTCATGCCGCATCAGCAGCCTTCACCTAGACAAGAGAAGACACTGGACGCGCTTCAAGTACAATCGCAGTTCGCGCACGTTCTAAAACTGCAGACATCAAGACCATTCGATGGCAAAGACTTCTATACCTGGTCATTACAGTTCGAGCTGATGATGGAAGGCACGCAAATCCTCGGATTCTTCGACGGTTCCCTGCCATATCCAACGCACGGGACACAATACGACAAGCAGCAGTATACATACAGTATCAATCGCTGATGGCGTACACGATCCTGCTACGCAACATAGCGCCGACGAGCAGCAGAACATCCGGTCTTATCGTGGATACGGTAACTCCGCCGAGCTCGCGTACAACCACCTGAAAGGCCTGTATCAAGCAACGGACGGCGTTAATCAAAGTGGACTCATGGCACAATTGACAACAGTGGAGATGAAACCCGACAAAAAGGGAATGGCGTATGTTAGTCGATGTCGCGGACTGCGTGACAAACTCCTTTGATGCGGAGGATCAATATCTGAAGACGCATTCGTTACAGTCGTCATCACTGGTCTCGGCCCTCATTGGCGGTCCACCCGAGCAATCCTCCGAGCCCACGGAAAAATCTCCGAATCCGCACTCTGCACCGAAATTCACGCCGAACAGCAAGACATGGACCTGCACGAAGAGCGGCACAAGAAGAGAACGTCAACACCAGAGTTTGCCTTTCACACTCAACAACGCTACAACAACAATAACTACCGGCAAAACAAGCATCAAGGACAACAACCCATACCTCCTATCTGTCACCTCTGGAAAACGTCAGGACACCCTCGCACACACTGCCCAAATCGACAGCAGTCAAGTAGTCAAGTAACGGCAACTTCAGCCTTCAAGTAGTCAAGTCGCCTCGACACAAGCGCATCCCACCACTCAATTGCAAACTTCAACGACGTCGACGACGCAACCTGCACAAGGAACAACAAACATCGTGAGCTGCATGGCGAGATTGACAGATTCCTGTATC